AGTCAATCAAGGTATAGAGAACTATAAAGAATGGGGAGTCGAAGAAAAAGATTTGTACCATGCCATACATTTAAGATTTCAGACACTTCTTAGTTGTGAAAGACGGAAAAGCCATGTTAAATGTGCTCCTTTAACCATTTATAATGAGGCTGGTATTCAAAGTATGTATTAATGCATGTGGTTCCCATTAGTATGTCAGCAATTCTATCAGAAATATTGCATTTGTCAAGTTACAATGCATGACCAACTACTAGATGAATAAAAAGGAGCCTGTGGTTTTCTCATCTTCCTAAGCCTCTGAAAAGCAGTAGTTTTCAAGCGGCTGAGCATTTAGAGCTCATTGCTCTCAAAGCCGATTTTCCCCAAATCCTAATTTAGAGCAAACTCGAAACATCACTCCAGGATCTAGAGGGTTGCATATGCAAAAGGGTAGGATTACAAAACATATACACTGCATATATATGTAAATGTAGCATGTGAATATTGAACTTATCATAGAATCAGTCCATATGTAACCATGATTAGATGAGGGTACATTAGCATGGATTGGTGCCAAGTTTTTGTTGCTTTTTAATATTTTATGTCTTAACTGGTTACACTTTTGTTTTTAAAATGATGTTACACATACTTTTTAATCTTTGATTGGGCAGTCACCCAGAGTTGGTTGAAAGATGGGTAGCTACAGAAATGTTTTTTTTTTAATAAATAAGTATTTGGAGCAGTGATTAGAGTGCAGTACTGCAGGCTACTTCTGCTGCCTCCAGCTGCCTGCAAATTGGCAGTTCTAATCTCACCAGGCTGAAGGTTGATTCAGCCTTCCATCCTTCCATAGGCTGACTCTGTAAACTGCTTAGAGAGGGCTGTAGAGCACCGCAAAGCGATATGTAAGTGTAAGTGCTATTTTGAAAAATATTGTCTTAGATCATTGCAAGGCTCTGTTTCACTGTTAGTTCTGCTGTCCTATCAGAAGGTCAAAAGTCACTGCTGCAGAAGTGGCTCTCACTTCCTTCTCAGTTTGTTGATAAACATCTTTACCATTGCTCTAGGTGATTGTCAAATTCTTAGAAATGCTATCGTATTATCTCTTCAGAAGCATCCACAATCCTCAGTCAGATTGTTCTGTATCAATCACCACTCTTTAAAACACCTGCATCAAAAAGCAATAGCAACAAGCAATAGCAATAGTTAGACTTATATACCGCTTCATAGGGCTTTCAGCCCTCTCTAAGCGGTTTACAGAGTCAGCATATTGCCCCCAACAACCCATAGATAGATAGATAGATAGATAGATAGATAGATAGCAATAGCAGTTAGACTTATATACCGCTTCATAGGGCTTTCAGCCCTCTCTAAGCGGTTTACAGAGTCAGCATATTGCCCCCAACAACAATCCGGGTCCGCATTTTACCCACCTCGGAAGGATGGAAGGCTGAGTCAACCCTGAGCCGGTGAGATTTGAACAGCTGAACTGCCGAACTGCAGTCAGCTGAAGTAGCCTGCAGTGCTGCATTTAACCACTGCGCCACCTCGGCTCTGGATCTTAAACAGTTACAGTCGCATCATTATTATAATATTTTATCCAGCGTATAGATATCAAAATAGCAAATATACCTAAAACTGATGCGGCCTATTTTCCCCACAATAACCATGATCTTGTGAGGTGGTTGGGCTGATAGAGGCATGCTGGGCCAAGTGTCCTTCAGCCAGCTGTCATGCCTAAGGGAGGCCTAGAAGTCACTGTCTCATACTTTCCAGCCAGCACCTTAACTGGCTCTCTTTCATTATTATATACTTCACCCAGGGGTGGGTTTCAACTGGTTCGCGGCAGTCCCCGCGAACCGGTTGGTCAGCGAACCCGGAAGTAAGTAACTTCCAGGAACGGCGAAAGGCGCACCCGCCCGCCCGCTGCGCGCGTGCACGAGGACGCCGCCGGCCCCATTCCAACCGAACCGGTTGGAACGGGGCGAGAAACCCACCCCTGACTTCACCCAGCTATTGCCATCATGTTTTCAAGATAAAATACGTCTCAAAGTTAACATCTAAAAATGCTTACAAACCAAGCATAATTTATAATAATTTGCTGTGCTTTAAATGTGCCATTTTTTTTGCAATGGTTAAGGTGCTAGTTGGAAAGTAGGAGACAGTGAGTTCTAGTCCCACCTTAGGCATGAAAGACGGCTGAGGCACTTTGGCCCAGACTGTCTCTGTCAGCCCAACCCACCTCACAGGGTTGTCATAATGGAAAAAATGGAAGAAGTATTATTTATTTAAATAATAATAAAATAATAATATTTATAAAAATAGGATAAAAAGGTACTAAAAATAAATATATAAATGTGCAATGTGTAATATTTATGCTGTGCCAGATTTCCGAGAGAAACTGTCGTGCTGTACTATGCAGAGAAGAATGGAATTCTTAAGATGCATCTATTTACTAAAGCGATATTCAATATCTTCATGGAGTTTATCTAATATAGCTTTCCCAGACTTAGTGCCTCTGAGGACTGTTGAAATATAACTCCCTTTTCCCACAACCAATGTGTTATTTAGCTGTGCTGTGTGGGAATGACAAGAGCTTAGTTCAATACCTCTGAAGACCACAGGTTGAAGAAGCCAATCTAATCCTAGTACAACTATTCATAAGCTTTTATCTTCAATCAGCTACTGCAACAGGTGTAAATTTGGAACAGGTAACCGGGCAAGTTAATGAAGAAATTGTCCTGATTACCAGTTCTTCCTGTTAGTAAATGTAAATTCAAAACGCACAACGGCAAGAGACTAGACATCACTGGGGGCTTTAGAACCAGTCAAGATAACACCACAATTCACATTCCACTCCATAAAGCCTGACAGGAAGATTTATGTAAGCAGTTATAAATGTAATGCACTGAAGCAAACAGTTTTCTTGCAAAAAATAGCTGATAAGTGCTAACGTTCTGATGATGAGTTTGAGGTAGAATAGTTCAAAAAAGCACTGAGAATGGGCAGAGATGGTGCGTTTGTCTACATCAAGGGAGCAGGCATGCAAGATCTGTTGTTGAAGCAGGAAATAAAGCTGAAACCTGGTCTCAAAAGAAAGCAGGACATGGACATTGTCACCTGCAGAAAAAAAAATATGTCTCCCTTGGGTGGGAGACATGAAAAGATCCTCACGCAGGGGTGAAATGGTTAAATGCAGGTGGTACAGTGGTTAAATGCAGCACTGCAGGCTACTTCAGCTGACTGCAGTTCTGCAGTTTGGCTGTTCAAATCTCACTGGCTCAGGGTTGACTCAGCCTNTTTCTTTCTCCTTCTTTCTTTCCTTGGAGATCTTCTCCCTTCCAGCTCTATTCTACTCTATATTTTCCCTGTTCTATTTTCTATGCTATTCCTGTTCTTTCTTTTTCCTTGTATCCTTTTTCTTTTCTTTTCTTCCTTCCTTCCTTCTCTCGTTCTTTTTCACTTTCCTTTCACCCTTTTTTTCTATTTCCTTTTTCTTTCTATTTCTTTCCTTTATCTTCTTTCCTTTTTTCTTCCTCCTTTTCCTCTTTTTCTTCTCTTCCCTTTTTCTTCTTCCTTCTCTTCCTTTTTCCTTCCTTCCTTCTCTCGTTCTTTTTCACTTTCCTTTCACCCTTTTTTTCTATTTCCTTTTTCTTTCTATTTCTTTCCTTTTTCTTCTTTCCTTTTTTCTTCCTCCTTTTCCTCTTTTTCTTCTCTTCCCTTTTTCTTCTTCCTTCTCTTCCTTTTTCCTTCCTTCCTTCCCTCGTTCTTTTTCATTTTCCTTTCACTCTTTTTTCTATTTCCATTTTCTTTCTATTTCTTTCCTTTTTCTTCTTTCCTTTTTTCTTCCTCCTTTTCCTCTTTTTCTTCTCTTCCCTTTTTCTTCTTCCTTTCTTTCTTTTTCCTTCCTTCCTTCTCTCATTCTTTTTCATTTTCCTTTCACTCTTTTTTCTATTTCCATTTTCTTTCTTTTTCTTTCCTTTTTCTTCTTTACTTTTTTCTTCCTCCTTTTCCTCTTTTTCTTCTTTCCTTTTTCCTCCTTTTCTTCCTTTTTCCTTCCTTCCTTCCTTCCCACCCTCCTTCCCCTTTCTTTCCCTAAATATTCCTCTTTCCTTTCGTTGCATTCAATTAGCCCAACCCTAGAAGCTGCAACAGATAATAACGCAATTAAGCAGAGCCGGTGCTTGGGAGCTCCATCCTGTTAGGATTCCGCCTACTTCAAACTTGCTGCAGGGATTTCAAGTAACCACAAAGTTTCTTAACTTTGGTGGCTGGGAGCTCTGCTGACTTCTACTCCCAGAATCCCCCAGCCTGTCAGACCTGGAAACCGTCTCTGACCTTTGGGATTTCAGGCCTGGCACATTTTCTACTGTGGGGAAATGGGAGGGGGGATTACGCAGAGAAGTGGGTGATATGTAGCCATAATAATATTCTTTCTCAGGAGGTCAAGGTCACCTGGCCCTGCAGCTGTGATGGGGTGACTGGGAGGCATCTCCTGTTTTTGAGGTTGCCTGATCGGACCATGGGATGGACACCTGGGTGCAGGGGAAGGGACTTGGACTTTCATTTGGGTGGGGGGAACCGGGAAGCTTTCAGATTTGGGGTTTCCCAGATGTGCCAAGATGGCATCTCTAATAAATTGCAACTTTGAGGAACTTCAAAGTCTTCTTTCGTTGGGGGTGTTACTTGGAACCTTGACATTAACCCAAATCTGAAAGCTTACAGGTCCCCCGCCCCCCAAAAAAAAGAAAGTTGAAGTTTCAGTCATTCCCAGAATCCCCCAGACCTTCAGCTGCAAGAGTCAGGGTCCCAAATAGCACCCAAAAGTAAATCAGAGTCCAAGGCAAAGTATTGCTCTAAGTTTCAATTTATGAAGAGAGTCATGTTGGCACATCTGGGAAAATCCGAATCTGAAAGCTTCCCGGTTTCCCCCACCCAGTTGAAAGTTCAAGATCTTGCCCCCAACACCCACAAGCNCTCCAGGAGGAGGCACCCTTTTGTGAGATCAAGAAAGCGGGCACCTTCATCTGCTCGGTCACCACCACGGGCGGCTGGCAAGCGGGGCGGCTGTAGACCAAGATGGTCCTGACCACGTAAGGCGGCGGGATGGTCTGGATGTTCTCCATCACCGGGAGCTCCGTCTTCTGCTGTCTGCCGAGAGGACGAGAGGAGGCGGGGGGGTGGGGGGGGCGCAGCCGGGAGGACCCAGCGCCCCAACCCTCCCGGCCGGCATGGCCACAGGACGAGGACGGCCGTGAGGAGCAGCCTAGCGTGAAACCACCTGGATTCTGAGGGGTTTCCTTCTCCTGCCTTGGGGGTCTTAGAAAGGCAGGTAATTTGGGGTCTCGTGCAGGGCTGGAGCTTCAAGGGGAGGGCTGTTAGGGACCCTTCCCCCCCATTTGGAGACCCACACCCCCAGGGCTGGTGCCCAGGACCCCGGAAGGGACAACCAAGCCCAGGGGAACGAAGGGGAGAGACTCACATCAGGTTGAAAAGGCCGTCCAGATCTGGTCAGCAAACGTTAAAGGTCAATGCCTGGATTTAGGACAAGGGGGTCTCCAGCCATGTGGACTTCAACTCCCAGAATTCCCCAATTCCCCAAGGTGGGAGACCTTCTCCACACGCCTCCCCGATGCCAGGAATCCCCCGCTAGGACCACCCCCAGCGGACAGTCCTCGACCTACGACTACAGTTTCTGTTGCTAAGCGAGGAGCTGTTAAGGGAGAGCTTTGCCCCATTTTGTACGACCTTTCCTCCCCGGTGTTGAGTTAGTAGCGGCTCTTGCTTGCCTGGAGGTCACAAAGAGAGGATTGTGTGACACACACACCCCTCCTGAGACCCTGAGTTGGTTGCCAAGATTCTGAACTCTGACCATGGTACGCAGCGACGGTCGTAAGTGTGGAAAAAAGGTCATTTTTCAGTGCGCTTGTAAGTTCAAACAGTCACTAAAAGAGTTGGAAATCGAGGCACCAATTCTACAATCCCAGCAAAGGGGGTGGGGCTGTCTGGAGCCCCTCCTTTCTCCACCCTTGCAGGGGGCTGGACTAGAAGACCTCCAAGGTCCCTTCCAGCTCTGCTCTTGATTCAAGCTCTGCCCTCCAGAGAACTGGCTTGAAGTCCATTTTCCAGCTACAGCTCCGAAGAACTTCCATGGCTCCTGCTGGGCCAGATCCGAATTCTGCCCACAAGGGACCCCCCCCCCCCCGCAGCCAGGCAGGACGTGGGAGCCCCAGGCCAGGCGGATTGGACCCAGAGCCCGGCTTTTCTCACCGTCTCTCCCTCCAAATCGGATCAGGACATTTCCCTTCATTTGGGGGGGGGATCCCTAGCAGAGGTCAAAGTCCCCCCCCCCCGGTCCCTTCTCCTGCCAGTGGATGCCCCCCTTTTGGGAAGGATACTGAAGGACTTGCAGAGGATGGTCTTCAAGTCGTACAAGCAGCTGCAAACCTCCCGGGGTTCAGAGGTGAAGCCGGAAAGCTGTGGAGAGGAAGAGGAAGAGGAAGGGGGGGGGAGGATCACAGGCATCCTGAACGAGCCTGGAATTACACTCACAAGCGCGTTGGCCACTAAGCAAGTCACCCCATGACTGCACTCCACTTTGTTTTACCGTGGTTGTTAAATGAACCACCACCGTTATGCGAAAGTAGTTTAATGAATCCAGAGTTCGTCAACAAAATGCCAATAAAATGCCATCACGTGACGGTGGGGGGGGGGGAGGGCACATTTGGTCATCACATACCCCCGCGGAGTTGTGTCGTAACTCCCGACCAAAGCCAGCTTCGGTGTTGCTACCTTGGAGCTGAGGGACAGGGAGGGCGGGGATTGGGGATAGCTGGGATTTTGTAGTCAAAACACAAGACTTTCTCTTGGGAACCAAGGTCAGAGAAAGGAGGAGTGATGTCTCCAAGCAACCAGGCAGGAGCTGTAATTGGACCGTGTGACTGGTTGGGAGCCGAGGTGGCGCAGTGGTTAGAGTGCAGTACTGCAGGCCACTTCAGCTGACTGCTATCTGCAGTTCGGCGGTTCTAATCTCACCGGCTCAGGGTTGGCTCAGCCTTCCATCCTTCCGAGGTGGTGAAATGAGGACCCAGACTGTGGGGACGATATGCTGACTCTGTAAACCGCTTAGAGAGGGCTGAAGGAGGAATTGACCTGCCTTGGGAGCTTCATTTGCTGTGGGTCTCTCAATTGGGACCCTGACAGTGTCTTTAGGGGAGGGGGCAAGGGAGACACACCCACCCAAGTGACGTCGTTGTTCACCACCACCAGCGCAAACTCGTGGCTCTTGTCGATCTTGTGCTTGGTGCGGACAAACATCTCGATCATCTTCTGGCAGATGTTGAGGGCGTTGGTCTTCAGCCTTTCCAGCGGGAGGAGAGGAAGAGGAGGCCCATGAGGCACCGCGGGGGAAACACAGGTCGAGTCCCTGCAGCGATGCCACCGGCCTCGTTCCCCCCTCCAGAGACCTAAGAAAGCAGGGGGCTCCAGAGGAGACAAGGCCCACCTCACCAGGATTCCTTTCCGCTCAGCCAAGAGGACTAGAATCTTGACTGCAGCGTCCCCAGGAAGAGGCTGAGACGCCCCCTCCGGCCTGAAGGCGGGACAGCCACGGCGAGAACCAGAAGGCTGGAATCCTGGTTTCTCCCCCCTATCACCGGCACTCCGTCTCCCCCAAGGAGGATCTGCTGGACCCCAGGAAGCCAGCAACCCCCCCCTCCAAAAAAAGAGATCCCTCTGGACAAGGGAGGGATCTCCACTCACCCATTGAACGACTCCAGCCTCGGGTGGGACATTTCCTCCGAGAGATCCAAGCAGATGATCTGGGAGAGAGAGAAGGAGGGAAGGAAGTGGAAGACGGATGCCATTCCTGCCTCTCCCTCCCCCTCCGTCGATCTATTCGGGTCTTTTAAACGTTCTTTTTTCTTCCTTCTTTTTTCCCCCTTTCCTTTGATTCAGGTGGGGTTAAATGCCATGCGGTGCGCCAGAGAAAACGGGTGGATTCTTTACCTGTCGTTCCATCTCATTATAAATCAGTGTTTCTCCAACTTGGCGACTTTAAGTCCTGTGGACTTCAACTCCCAGAATCCCCCAGCCAGCTCTCGCTGTCCCCACTCACCACTTTCTCTGCGCAGTTCACCCGCGGCGTCCGGACCTGGAACTCGGAGGGAGGGGTCGGGGCCAGCCAGGTCTTGCCGTTGGGGGCCTGGACGCCAGCACTGGGGGGCAGGGTGGTGGTGGTGGTGGTGCTGGCCGCCTCCCCCTCCCCTTCGCTCCGGCTCCCCACGCTGGCCTGCATGCTGAGGGTCCGGTCCTCGGCCCCCTCTGGGTTGGAGCGGGTCCTGGGACGCTGCTCGGCCGCCATTTTCTCCTCTTCCTCCTCCGTGGTGCTGTTGGCCTCCGAGGTGTCCATCCAGGCCCCACGGTCCGGGGGGGAGTCCAGGATGGCCGGGTGAGCTGGTGGGAGTCTGACCCTCCTGCCTTTGGGGGGGAGACAAGCAAAGAGGCCAAACTCCAGAGATTTTGAACAGGCGCAACTCCATACAGCTGAACAGAGTTGGAAGGGACCTTGCAGGTCATCTAGTCCACCCCCCCCCAGGCAAAAGACCCTACACCAGTGTTTCTCAACCTTGGCAACTTGAATGCTGGCTGGGGAATTCTGGGAGTTGAAGTCCGGACATCTTCCAAGTTGACAAGGTTGAGAAACACT